CTGTCTCAAAAAAAAAAAAAAAGAAAAAGATTCCCTGTATACTGACTCACATCTAATTGGCCAGGCCCAATTATAGGTATTTTACAAAATATTAACTCAATCCTTTTTTTTTGAAACGGAGTTTCACTCTTGTTACCCAGGCTGGAGTGCAATGGCATGATCTCAGCTCACCGCAACCTCCGCCTCCTGGGTTCAGGCAATTCTCCTGCCTCAATCTCCTGAGTAGCTGGGATTACAGGCACACGCCACCATGCCCAGCTAATTTTTTGTATTTTTTAGTCGAGACGGGGTTTCACCATGTTGACCAGGATGGTCTCGATCTCTTGACCTCGTGATCCACCCGCCTCGGCCTCCCAAAGTGCTGGGATTACAGGCTTGAGCCACCGCGCCCGGCCCTTAACTCAATCCTTAAATCCCCTGTGAGGTAGATAAAATTTCCCCATTTTACAGATCAGGAAATGGAGGCACAGAGTGACTAAGGGACTTACCTGAGGTTACCCAGCTGGTAAGTGACAGAGCCAGGATTTGAACCCAGGCAAGGTAGCTGCGGACTCCATGTCTCTAACCTCTGTACTGCCTTCCCTGTAACCTGTGGCCTTGTCAAATTGTATATAGCCTGTCCTGCCAAGGCACCCTTTGTTCCTGACCAGCATGTGGTGATCGGAATTGCATGTGGCCTTGGCAGGACTGGGTTTGTGGAGATCTTTGGAGGCATGTGAAGGATATGTGCAAGGATGTTAAGGACAAAGAGTGGGGAAATTTTAGGGGTGAGAAAGAATAGCCACTGAAATAAACAGGGAAAACCAGCTCTGCCAGCTTGGGCAGGAAATACCTAGTCAGCAAGCCTGCCTTACTTCATGCCATCTGGCTTCTCAGGGGCCAGCCAGTACCCCTTTATGGGTGTTGATGAAGCTTCCCTTTGAGTCAGAGGCAATAAAACAGGTTATTAAAATTTTTTCCAGTCCATTCTGTTGTTTTAAGCCACTGATATTCATGTATTTTTTTCCACTTCATATTAGCTCAAAATTACTATCCTTATATTCCTACATGGCTTTTAAAGAGGAGACATCTAAATCGGTCATAGATCTTTTCTTTTTTTTAAAAAAAAAAAAAGATTTCCTATGTAGTGGGTATATATAATCCCTATATATACTCAAATACAACTAAAGTGAGAAGAAACACAGTGTGGGAGTGGAGGGATGTATGCCCTGAGCATGAATTTACAGAAGACATGGACTGTGTCTCATTCCTTTGACCCTGTAACAGCTGGTAATTAATGGCCAACAAAACTTAGCTAGACATGGTGGCTCACACCTATAATCTCAGCACTTTGGGAGGCTGAAGTGGGCAGATCACCTGAGGTCAGGAGTTCAAGACCAGCTTGGCCAACATGGTGAAACCCTATCTCTACTAAAAATACAAAAATTAGCCGGGCATGGTGGCACATGCCTGTACAAGTCCCAACTACTTGGTAGGCTAAGACAGAGAATCACTTGAACCTGGAACTCTGAGGTTGCAGTGAGCCAAGATCATGCCACTGTACCCCAGCCTGGATGACAGAGACAAGACTCCGTCTCAAAAAAAAAAAAAAACTTAAGTAGAATCTCACTACTTACCTAATGCTGCAGACTTGACACTGTCAAGCTCCTTGAATAGCCATAACCTCTTAATAACCAAAACACCTGTAAAAGCAGACAGTGACCAAAATAGCTGAAGGGAGTCCAGGACATGAAAATTGTAGAAGATAACTGTGTGCTTAACCTGTTTTCTAAGAAAACTAGAAGAGAAGTCTATAAGAGCAGAATTAGCAAAGAGAAAAGAGGAAGATCATGGCCAGATGCGGTGTCTGATGCCTGTAACCCCAGCACTTTGGGAGGCCAAGGTGGGTTGATCACTTGAGGTCAGGAGTTCGAGACCAGCCTGGCCAACATGGCGAAACCCTGCCTCTACTAAAAATACAAAAATTAGGCCAGACACGGTGGCTCACAGCTGTAATCCCAGCACTTTGGGAGGCCCAGGCAGGAGGGTCACAAGGTCAGGAGTTTGAGACCAACCTGGCCAATATAGTGAAACCCCGTCCCTACTAAAAATACAAACGTTAGCTGGGCATGGTGGTGGGTGCCTGTAATCCCAGCTACTCAGGAGGCTGAGGCAGGAGAATTGCTTGAACCTGGGAGGTGGAGGTTGCAGTGAGCTGAGATTGCGCCATTGCACTCCAGCCTGGGTGACAAGAGTGAAACTCCATCTCAGAAAAAAAAAAAAAAAGAGAGAGAGAGATGGAAAAAGTGGAAAAGGAAAGCAGGCTGACTAAGTGGGCACAGACACTGTTTACCATCAGAAAGAAGAAAAGATGGTTAAGATAAAACCCCAATGAGAGTGCAGGAGGCAATTAGTTCTTTCACTTTTCTCTTGAACTGGTTTTTGTTTTCCACTCTTCTTTTTATTTATTTTTTTGAGACAGAGTTTCATTCTGTTGCTCAGGCTGGAGTGCAGTGGTGCGATCTCGGCTCACTGCAACCTCAACCTCCCAGGTTCAAGCTATTCTGCTTTAGCTTCCCAAGTAGCTGGGATTACAGGCATCTGCCACCAAACCTGGCTAATGTTTTTGTATTTTTAGTAGAGATGGGGTTTTACCATGTTGAGCCAGCTGGTTTTGAACTCCTGACCTCAGGCAATCCACCTGCCTCGGCCTCCCAAAGTGCTGGGATTACAGGCGTGAGCCACCATGCCAGGCCTACACTCTTCTTTTTCTTTGTCATATATAGAATCATGAACTTTTACAACAAGAAGGAACCCTAAAGATCAATCACTCCCCTTATTATACATTTAAGGCCCTGAAGGTTGAATGGTTTGACCAGGGTTGCACAGAAAATTAAGTAGCAGAACAGGGATTTAAACCCAGCTTTTTCCATTTTCATTTTTACTCCTATCCTTCAGTCTCCATGGAGGAAGATTCTGCAGTTTTTAATCTTGGAGCAGTATTTCTTTTTTCTTTTGAGACAAGGTCTTGCTCTGTTGCCCAGGCTGGAGTGCAGTAGCGCAATCATAGCTCACTACAATTGTGAACTCCTGGGCTCAAGTAATCCTTTCACCTCAGTCTCCTAGGTAGCTAGGACTACAAGTGCAGGCCACCACATCTGGCTATTTTTTATTTATTTTTATTTTTTATTTTTTTGTGTAGAGATGGCATCTCATCATGTTCCCCAGGCTACTCTCAAACTCCTGGCCTCAAGTGATCTTCCCACCTCGGCCTCCCAAAGAGCTGGGGTTGCAGGCATGAGCCACCATGCCTGGCCTCGGGCAGTATTTCATTTGTGCTTTTCTGGAAGAGACTTGTTGCTTCCTTATTTGAAATTAGCGCGGTGGCTCTCGCCTGTAATCCTAACACTTTGGGAGGCCGAGGTGGGTGGATCACCTGAGGCCAGGAGTTCAAGACCAGCCTGGCCATCATGGTGAAACCCCATCTTTAAAAAAAAAAGAAAAGAAATTAGGCTCGGGCTGGGTGCAGTGGCTCACACCTGTAATCCCAGCGCTTTGGGAAGCCGAGGCTGGAAGATCACGAGATCAAGAGATCAAGACCATCCTAGCCAACATGGTAAAACCCTGTCTCTACTGAAAATACAAAAATTAGCTGGGCCTGGTGGCACATGCCTGTAGTCCCAACTACTTGGGAGGCTGAGGCAGGAGAATCACTTGAACCCAGAAGGTAGAGATTGTAGTGAGCTGAGATCAGGCCACTGCACACCAGCCTGGGGGGACAAGAGTGAGACTCCATCTCAAAAAAAAAAAAAAGACTAAGCTGGGTGTCCTCTCTGGTAATAACCAGTGTAATGCTTGCTGTTCTAGGAGCCATGATTGACCAGGATGTTGGGAAGGTCGTATCCATGCTGGAGACTCTTGTGAGGAGATGAGTGGGTGAAGAGAGAGGCTGGGATGAAGATGCTGCCAGGAGTGGGTGTGTTTGGGACTGGCAGCTCCGCCCGAGTTCTGGTCCCGCTGCTGAGGGCTGAAGGGTTCACTGTTGAGGCCCTGTGGGGGCAGACCGAGGAGGAGGCGAAGCAGCTTGCTGAGGAGATGAACGTCACCTTCTACACCAGCCGGACCGATGACGTCTTGCTGCATCAAGATGTGGATCTGGTGTGCATCAGCATCCCCCCTCCACTCACCCGGCAGATATCCGTGAAGGCTCTAGGTATGCCCAGCAGGCTGCAGTAGGGGCAGATCATGTCTCCCTCTGCGCAGTCCCCTGAGGGTCAATCCTCTCCTCTGAGCCTGCGCACCCCTTCCTAGGCTCTCTGATCTGCAGGGAGGAGAACTCTGGGACATCATTTGTCCCTGAAGCTAGTGCTTGGGGAGGGCATGTTGGGGGTTCTTATAACTGTAGGAGAAAAAAGACATAGCCTAACCTACCTCCCATTCATAAATTTCTGAACAGAAATTAAGGAAATACTCTAAGAAACAGATATCAAGGGGCTGGAGATGGTTGCATCTCAGGTTGTAAAGTTTGCCCCTGTGAAGTTAGAGGTCAGAGCCCTGGGCACTGGGGAATTGGTTGTGACTGGTGTGTTTGTTCTTCCATTTTTGGGGCATACAGCACCACAGGAAGGAGAGGCTGTGTAGCAAGGCTACCATTTCCCACGTTTTGTCAGCCCTTGACTATAGTGATCACACACCCTTCCTGCCAAACTGCAGTTTTGTATTGCCAGAGGGCAGGAAGGCTCTTGCAGCGTAGGGCTTCCCTGACAGGATCTGAAGACAGCCTGCTCACATGACATCTATTTCCCTTGGGAAGTTTTGGGCTTGGTAACCTGCCCATGGCTGGGCGTGGCCTGCTGAGCTGTTCTCCTGCAGTTCCTGTTCTTCTCTTTCCAGTCAACTGTAGTCAACTTCTCTTCATCTAATAGAAATCAGAACCTAGTTTAGTAAGCAAACAAACCAGTAAACATTCAGCCAACAATTTTTATTTATCTATTTACTATTTTTATTTGTTTGTTTATTTATTTTGGAGATGGCGTTTTGTTCTTGTCGCCCAAGCTAGAATGCAGTGGCACAATCCCGGCTCACTGCAACGTCCACCTCCTGGGTTCAAGTGATTCTCCTGCCTCAGCCTCCCGAGTAGCTGGGATTACAGGCACCTGCCACCACAGCCAGCTGATTTTTGTATTTTTAGAAGAGACGGGGTTTCACCATGTTTACCAGGCTGGTCTTGAATTCCTGACCTCAGGTGATTCACCCACCTCGGCCTCCCGAAGTGCTGGGATTACAGGCGTGAGCCACCGCACCTGGCTTTTCTTTTTTGTTTGTTTGTTTTTTAATACAGAACCTCACTGTGTCACCCAGGCCAGAGTATAGTGGCACAATCTCGGCTCACCACAACCTCCACCTCCCAGGTTCAAGCGATTCTCCTGCCCTGGCCTCCCAAGTAGCAGGGACTACAGATGTGTGCCACCACACCTGGCTAATTTTTGTAATTTTAGTAGAAATGGGGTTTTACCATGTTGGCCAGGGTGGTCTTGAACTCCTGACCTCAGGTGATCCATCCGCCTTGGCCACCCAAAGTGCTGAGGTTACAAGCATGAGCCACCACACCTGGCCTCAGGTTTTTTTGTTTTTTGTTTTTTGTTTTTTTTTTTTTGAGACAGTCTTGCTAGGTCACCAGGCTGGAGTGCAGTGGTGCAATCCCGGCTCACCACAACCTCTGCCTCCTGGGTTCAAGCGATTCTTGCGCCTCAGCCTCTCAAGTAGTTGGGACCACAGGCACGTGCCACCATGCCCGGCTAATTTTTTTTTTTTTTTTTTTTTTTTTGTATTTTTAGTAGTGATCTGCCTGCCTTGGCCTCCCAAAATGCTGGCATTACAGGCATGAGCCACTGCAACCGGCCAATATTTTTTTAATGCCTCCTGTATGCCAGTCACTGTCCTGTTGTCATTTTGGACATTCAAAGCTATATTAGATGGGACTCCTCCCTACCTTCAGATTTCATAGTCCAATTAAGGCAACTAGAAATAACACACAAGGTAGATGACAGAAGACATAGTCACAATTCAAGTAGCATATAGTTACTTGACTGAGTCATTGCTTTATATGAGGTGATAGGAGCCAAGTGTCTCTGATACAGTCAGAGATCTCTAGGTCCAGGAACTGGTGCCATGAGGCTGTCCTCCACTCTTCCTGACCACTGCCATGGGGGAAAACCCCAGAGTCTGCTACTTATCTCTTCCCCATTCTGAGAAATGTCATAAGAAGGTGCCTGTCACCTCTGGCCAGTGGGTGGGGAAAAATAAACATTCACTGAAGTGAGAAAGAACTTCAGTCGGTCTGGTTGTCAATTTGGAGCAAGTAAGTTTTGGCCTTATTGTTTGTTTCTTCCAGAGAGCTCTCTCTGATGATATGTGACATTGGAGCTATTCATTCATTGGTCACCAAATACTTGGGAGGTCAGACAGTGGCTCCCAGATTGAATTCAGAAATAGACCTAGGTCAACACTTTAGCAGAAAGTTGGTTCAAGGGGAACCAAGCCACTGTGGTCACTTGACTCCTTGCCATCCCTTGTGGCTTGAATGCAGACCAGAAACGTGAGGTGTGTCCAGAGGCCGAGCTCTGGAGGCTGTTAGTCTTCTTCCTGAATTTTAGGGCTCCCCACAGACACCATTTCCAAGCTGTGCAGGAGGAAAGAGAAAAACCCCAGTGTCCTGTGGCGACAAGCTTGCTTTTTTTCTGGTTCTTGGTATGCTCCACCAGCAGCAGCAGCAGCACCTGGGAGCTTATTAGAAATCTGAATTCTCAGCTGGGCAACATAGTGGGATCCTGTCTCTACAAAAATAGTTTAAAAATCAGTCAGGCATGGTGGCATGTGACTGTGGTCCCAGCTACTTAGGAAGCTGAGGCAGAAGGATCACTTGAGCCCAGGAGATAGAGGCTGCTGTGAGCAGTGATCATGCACTCCAGCTTGAGTGACAGAGTAAGACTGTCTCAAAAACAAAGAAGTCGAAATTCTCAGGCCCCAGTCCAAACCTACTGAATCTCTGGGATCCAGCTATCTGTGTTTGAACAAGCCTTGTAGGTGACTCTCATGCACCTTAAGAATTGAGAGCCACTGATCCAGTCCAACATCTTCATTTGAATTAAACTGAGGCCCAGGAACATTAGGAATGACAGCTTGGTTGCATTTCACCAAGTCTTCATGCTGTGATTTTTCTCTCCTTGCTAGAGCTTTATATTTTTACCGTATTTCTAAAGCCATAAGATCATTTCTTGCCCTCCTTATTTTTCCTAAAATTAATTATTGGACTTCGCTTCCAGAGATATACTTTTCATATCACAGCTCTTTTTAAGGCATCTTGTTTTCTGCTTTGGTCTGACCTGTGTTTTTCATCTTTTACCTCCAATTTCATCCTTAAAACTTTCCCATGAATTTCTTAAATGGGACAGGGAAGGGCCCTGATGTATTTTATTCTTCAGTTCAGAAGTAGTTCAGAAAAATGTATTTTAAGTGCAAGGTGCCCCAGCATCTTTGCCACAGTTGAATGTTTTCTTAAATCTGTCACTAAAAGGTGGGCTTCTGTGCCCAATTCTTGGCACTTCCGTGGTTCATTAGAAAAACATTAAGTTTGCAGCTGGGCAGAGTGGCTCACGCCTGTAATCCCAGCACTTTGGGAGGCCAAGGCAGGTGAATCGTCTGAGGTCAGGAGTTTGAGACCAGTCTAGCCAACATGGTGAAACCCTGTTTCTACTAAAAATACAAAATTAGCTGAGTGTGATGGCGCATACCTGTAATCCCAACTACTGGGGAGGCTGAGACAGGAAAATTGCTTGAACCCAGGATGCAGAGGTTGCAGTAAGCGGAGATCGCACCACTGTACTCCAACCTGGGTGACAGAGTGAGACTCTGCCTCAAAAAAAAAAAAAAAAAAAAAAAACCACTAAGTTTGCCAGTCTTTTTCCATGGGATCCCAAGGTGACAAAAGATACTGCAGCTCAGATCCCTGCTATATGCTTTTATCCCAAAAACACCAGTCCCTTGGGAAGCCTTCCCTGACACATGATCCAGGTCAGTTCCCTGCAGTATGCTCTTAGCCCAGCATTTATTCATCTTCTGCATTTACCACAGTGCTGTTTTACATTTCTTTGTACGATAATTTGAACCCATTAAACCATAAATTCTCTGAAACCGTGCCTGTTGTTGTATCCTCAGTGCTCGGCACAGGGCCAGGCATGCTGGTTGAACAAGGCATTTACAAATCCTACCCAGGCAGCCCAGTCTACTGGTGTGAGCCAGGCAGCTAACACGGACCTGTGATCTAAGAAAGAGTGTAGATTGGGCTATGGGCAAGAAATGTTCTAGTAGAAGAACTTTTTAAATTTAAAAAACAGGGGCCGGGCATGGTGGCTCATGCCTACAATCCCAGCACTTTGGGAGGCCGAGGTGGGCAAATCACCTGAGGTCAGGAGTTTGAGACCAGCCTGACCAACATGGATAAACCCGTCTCTACTAAAAATACAAAATTAGCCGGGTATGGTGGCCCATGCCTATAATCCCAGCTACTAGGGAGGCTGAGGCAGAAGAATCACTTGAACCTGGGAGGCAGAGATTGTGAGCTGAGATCGCCATTGCGCTCCAGCCTGGGCAACAAGAGCAAAACTCTGTCTCAAAAAAACAAAACAAAACAAAACACAAAACGAAGTGGACTCCTGGATTTTGTAAAACATAAAAGTAGCACTCTTCTTGGGCTGCTTCTCAACCCTGCTGTTTGAAATGATTTTTCCAGTCCCAGGCCACTAGAGGGAGAAACAAGGGCGATCCTAAGCCGAGAGCTGTGAATCTGGTTCCCGTGGTGTGTTACTAGCAACAGGGAAGTAGTCTGCAGCAGCACTGGGGCATCTTCTCTGGACCTTGGTCAAGGGCTCATCACTCCTGGGTAATCTAGGGGCATGAGCTAGAGAGGGGCTTGAAGCTTGAAACTATGCTCCAGGGAACCTAAGTTAAAAGCACTTGGCACCCATCTCTCCCATTCCCTGGAAGCAAAACAGTTTTCAGGTTTTTTGTTTTTTTGTTTTGTTTTGTTTTGTTTTTAGACAGGCTTTCACTCTTTCACCCAGGCTGGAGCACAATGGTGCTATCATAGCTTACTGCAAACTTGAACTCCTGGGCTCAAACAATCCTCCTGCCTTAGCCTCTGGAGTAGCTGAA